ATTATAATTTCAACTTTCTTTCCCGTTACCTTCATCATAGTGCTGGAAAAGAGAGTCCCTTCTGTAATTACACAAAACATTCTCAGTTTTCTAGAAGCTTTAAACGCGTAAGGATTCTCAAAGTAAATCCGACCTGCATTTGGGGTAGTTGAAGCCATGAAAATCAGTCAGAAAAAAAAAACAGCTTAAACTTATATGGCAGTATAGTAATGCCACTATAAACAGGGGGAAAAATGTTTTAAACTGTCTCTGTAGAGATAAGTCTTTACTTATAACTAAGATGATAAATTAACCTATTATTTATGTTCAAACCAGCCCTACTTAATATAGTATCATTCCCTGAAGCAGCACTTGTCTGTGGTATATACAACTTAATTATTCTGGCAGCTTTAAACTATAGTTCCCCATCGTTCTATTTACTCTTCTATGCAAGTACTTTTCAAAGTGAAAGTAATTATGGATTATTTTGACACCACATACTTTCAACAATAAGCAGTGAATTCAAACTGTATTAAGAGTAAATAACATAATAAGTTCATTTTATTATTAAAATATAATTTTACAGAAAAAATTGATGACTTTTACTTTGTACTTAAATGAATCACAGAATTTAAAATCCACCCTTAATTCGCCTATTATACTTATAAAACTCATAAATAGATCATGTACTCTTCCTATTTCCATATTAGAATATATTCATTCATCTTAGACCCCCATATATTGGCTGACTTGTGGCTTATAGGATCACCCTTCAAGTATTCCTGACAAGTAATGCCGTTAATAAGACAAAAATCAAATAAAAAAATACCCTGTTGGTAAATTTATTTTAAAATAGTATTTTGATTATAGAATAAGCCAAAAGAAACTCTATAGAAGTAGTTTAAAACTTACCAAAACTACAATTGATGTTCTGTAATCAAATTATTCCAAATGAAAAACAAAACCTAGCCCTAGCCGGTTTGGCTCTGTGGATATGGAGCGTCGGCCTGGGGAATGAAGGGTCCCGGGCTCAATTCTGGTCAAGGGCACATGCCTGGGCTGCGGGCTCCACCTCCAGTAGGAGCCATGCAAGAGGCAACAGATCAGTATTCTCTCTCATCATTAACGTTTCTTTCTCTCTCTTCCTCTCTGAAATCAATAAAAATATATTTTTTTAAAAAGAAAAGTAAATCAAAACCTACCAGCCAGTGAATTTATCAGTAAACAAACTATCAATATTTACCATTCATAGAAAATTAGAATTAATCTGCTGTGCCTTCCTAGCCATCCATCCCTGGAAAGCATAACTGCCACCATGTCTCAAGGCTGAATGAGACTGTCCTGCAAAAAAGGTTGGTATACAAAGAAGAAAATATATTCTGAAGACCAGAAACTGTATTCAGTGGAAAGGCAGGGTAAGGAATGTGTGTACCATTCAGGTGGCCTAGGGATTTGGTTTTAATGGCCAGTATTGAAGGTAAGCCCGTGTGGGTACTGGATCAGAGAACTTCTATACAAAGTCAGGATCCCTGAAGGATTATATCCTCAATGAAAAAGTGAGTTATTTTTTAATCTGCTCTGCAGAAGCAGACAGAAAAATGTGTATTTCCACTTGGCTGTATGTAAAGGGAAAAATCTCATTTTTCCTGGGAACTTTTGGTCACAGATCTTGGGGCATGAATTCACTGTATATCCAAGGTCCAAAGAAAACCACATGCCGAAATGTTAAATTAATTTGGATCAGGATTGCTAGGCCCCAGTAGCACACACACTCTCTCTCTGGAAAAGGACTAGATAAACTAAGACACAGGGCAAAATCAGGCATAATGCCGTCTCCATCTGTTTACGGACTGTCAGTGTTGGCTTTCTTGCTATCACAGTGGAGTTGATTAGTTGTGACAAAGACCGCATGGGCCACAAAGTCTAAAATATTTACTATCTTGCCCTCTATAGAAAAGACGGTTGATCCCTAGTATAAAATACTGATAATGTCAAATGTGTTTGAAACAAAGTAGGATGGATTAAGGCAGTAGAAACAGTGTCCTGTATATTGGGGCTTGATCAAAGAGTAAAAATATTTGTTGACTTTAGACTTAGTTAAATATTTGCTTTAAAACTTCAAAAGTCAAAACCTTATGGTTCAAGTACAAGCATGGTGATAGCTGAATTCTGAATCTCCCCATTCATTCCCGGGAAGACAATAAAACAACAAGGAAAACATGAATGAAAAGGAAAATTACATTTCCAGATAAACTAGAATTAAAAAACCCATAAACTCCAAATCAAGTGCAAAAAGCAAGTAAAACCGAGAGCCAGAAGGAGGGCGCCCCGAGAATGCAGAAGGAAGCCAAGAGACAAGGAGTCAGGAGAAGCCTAATAGTGGCAGATCTCAAAATCACTCATTTCCTCAAAAAAAATGGGCCTCCTCTGAACATGACATAATTTTTTAAAAGACAACAGAGTGACTATTAAAAATATAAAACATGTACAGGAAATGTACAAAAAACGGATGGAGTCACAAAGCAAAATCTAACTTTTTGTTGTACACAAGAGATATATTTAAAACAAAGTGATTCTGAAAGGTTAACAATAGATGGGCAAAAGCATATGAAGGAAAGAATGACAGCCCCACCCCAAATAACCAAGAGCCATTATATTAATATCAGACAAGATAGAAATCAGGTCAAAAAACATTAAATAAACAAAGCACTTTATAACATTAATGCGAAAATGAAAGTCATGAATATCCATAATAGCAACTTTCATAAAGCATAAATTCCAGAATATACAAGGAGAAATAGGCAAAAATACACTAACATACGTAGACTTTCATTTTCACAGCATGACAGATCCAATACAAAAAGTAGAAGAACTAATAAGGATAATGAATAAAGTAGTATGTGTGTGTATATGTGTGTGTGTGTGTGTGTGTGTGTGTGTGTATCAGATACCAAAACTTAAAGTTCTAACATTTGCCTTCTTTTCAAGTGTCTATACAGTATTTATGAAAATTAAGCCACAAAGAAAATTTCAGTAAGTTACAAAATATGGAAATAATACCTACAACACTCTATGAACGTCATCATAAAATTAAAATAACAAAATCAAACAAAACCTTTTTATATAGGCTATTTGTAACTTAACTCCTTTTTTAAATTATCTTTATTGTTAAAGTATTACAGATGTCCCTTGTAACTTAGCTCTTGCTGAAACAACTCTTGGGCTCATCTGAAAAAGTAGAATGACAGCTACACTAGCTTCCATGCTATCATGAATTTGTTACAACAATTAGGCATGTAAGCAGGTTTATTCAATGCACATTTACTTTTTAACCACTGCACTCCAAAATGTTCCCTTCAGTAGGAATCCTCTTTAGACCGCTTCTGTTTTCTCAGTAAAACACTGAGTAAGGTCATCAGATGAAGGACATGTTAGAAGTTTGAAGAGAGAGAAAAATGTATGAAAGAGTCATGATGAAGAGTTGGAAGAGTGATTGGTGATTATGAGCGTAAAGCCTGGTAAGTGTAGAGGTAAGTATGGACAGAGGAAGGAAGAGATAGTGAACACCTGAAAGGAGGCTAGTGAACTACAAGCTCTGGGACAGTTGAAGAATTACCAGTGTGGGGACTAGCAGGAGTAAGCTGGAGGCACTGGAATAAGATATCTGAAATGGGAATTATGGAATTCATTGCAGGTAGGACAATGGGCAAGACTGATTCAAGTAGCATGAAAAACAAGATCTTGGGGAGAGAGATCAAAAAATTGAGAAGCCAAGTATTGGAAGAATTATTAAAGTGGATACTGAAATCAGAAATATTTGGTTAATGTATATGGGATGGAGTGACAGTGAGCCGGATGCTAACTCCTTCAAGGAATAAAACAGGGATTCTAGGAGCTACAGAAGACATGAAGGCAAAGAAACAGGTGGTATAGTCTAATGACATACAATTCAAAGCTGAGTGATTCAAAGGAGGAAGGCGTGGAAATAGAGTGTAAATGACAATAGGAAGGAGAATGCATATCCCACTTTCAGTCCACCTGTACTGGAGACATGGAGGAGAAACAGATCACCCTGTATAGTTACACAAAAAAAGCAAAACCTTGAGTTCAAAATTCCGGTCAAGGCCAGATATGGAATATGTTCTTGAATCTAAGTAGTGACTAACAGGGTGCATATATTTGTAAACAAATTTTTTAAAAAACTTACAACTGTTTGAAAATTTCATAAAGAATTTTAAAAAAATAAAGTGCCAGAAAAACGAATAAGAGTATTTAAGAATATCATGCAGTCACATGTAGATTGCCACCGACACCTTCATGCACTAGATAATAATCTTTCACAGAAGCCGACAGACTCTCAGGAGCTTCCTCTAAGACTAGTACATACAGAGAGACACTGCAGTAAGACTAGGAACAGGACCCTGAAAAATAAAAAATCCTGCCTGGCCAAAATGGCTCAATGGTTGAGCGTCGACCTATGAACCAGGAGGTAACAGTTCAATTCCCGATCAGGGAACATGCCCAGGTTGCAGGCTCAATCCCCAGTATGGGGCATGCAAGAGGCAGCTAGCTGATCAATGAATCTCTCTCTCTCACTGCTGATGTTTCTATTTATCTCTCCTTCTCCCTTCTTCTCTGAAATCAATAAAAATATATATTTTTTAAAATCCTGAAATCATGGAATGCATAGTAAACAGACTGGGTTAGTTTTTAGCTCTTAGTCCGCAAGTAAAAACAAAGATGTAGCACCACCTATTGGAATTTCACATATTTAAAAATATTCTCAGTTCTTAGAAAATGTAACTTCTGTAACATTTCCCCACATTTGGCTAAGAAGATAAACTTAAGTATTAAAGTACAAAATCTAACACAAAACCAAAAAAATTATATTAACAAGTATTAATTCTTGGCTTATAATTCTTATTTCAAAACCATTTTGACTAAATTCATATGAAGATTTTAAAGATAAAAATGTGCACAATCAATAAAGACTTTACAGTTACACATTCAAAGTAACTCACAGATATGGTATTCCTGTACGCTGCTTGTATAACCATATATTGCAGAATATCCAAATATTATGATCATGACAACATCTCTACTATCCAGCTCCATAATATGTGCCGAATGCCCCTCCACAGCATACTGCTGCCCGTGCCCAAGAACAGTGGGAGTTTTTGTGCTCCAGGACTGACTAGGAATGTTAAAAATCCATAACTCATCTGTGACATTGCCTTCATTTGTTTCAATTCTGCCTCCATACATAAAGATGTTTTCCTGTAAATTAAAAAACAAGTATTAACAAGTATATTTCTTAGCATTATAAATTAAAAATTAGAATGAAGGCTAAATTTAAACATAGTTTTAGAAATCACTCACAACATGCATAAGGCATTCTTCCTATTTATAAAAAGTGAAATGGGAACACATGACTAATGAAAAATAATGCTTTTACTCACAAGAAAGGGGGGGAAATCCATGCTTTCAAAAAGATATTTAAAACAATTATATTATATAGTCAATTAACCTTTTTGTTCCAGAGAGGAAGGGAGCGGGAGAGAGAGAGAGAAATATCAATGATGAGAGAGAATCATTGATCAGCTACCTCCTCCACACCCAACACCCGGGCATGTGCCCTGACCTGGAATTGAACCCTGACCGCCTGGTTCATAGGTTGATGCTCAACCTCTGAGCTACACCAGCAAGACAATTAAGCATATTTTTAATTTTCCTAGTTGCTGAGTCGCTAGCTGTCACACTGGAATGTTGCCATGGATGTACACTGCTCTGTGCTGTTCTGGATCATTCACTGCTTTCATCAAGCACAGTTCACAAAAAGGTAGACCACGTCTGTGTATTGCATGGAGTACACTTTTATTACCACTTCCCATGGCCATGGGCAGATGCTTTATAGCACTTATAAATTATACAAATAACTTTAATCACATAGGACTAAAATGAATGATGCATAAATAATACAAATCATTACTATTTCAACAAGCTAGGAAGAGAAAGGAATTTCTTCAACCTAATAAAGATCATCTAAGAAAAACACAAGCTAATATTATACTGAATGATGAAAGAGCAGACACTTGCCCACTAAGGTCAGGAACAAGACAAAGGCGCCCACTTTTGCCACTTATATTCCACACTGTACTCGAGGTGTTAGCCTGAGCAAATTGGCAAAAATTGAATAAAGACAACCAGATTGGAAAAGAAGCAAATATTGTTATTCGTAGAAGATATGAACTTATATATAGACAATACTAAGAAATCTCCCCACCCAAAAAAAAACCAAAAAAACAATTAGAGCTAATAAATGAGTTCAACCACATTGCAGAATACAAGATCAATGTGCAAAAATCAATTATACTTCTATACACTTGCAGTGAACAATCTAAAAATAAAAATAAGTAAAACAAATTCCATTTCAAATGCATCAAAAAATAAAATACTTGGGAATAATTCTAACAAAAGAAATTTCAAACTTACTCTGGAATCAACAAAACATTGTTGAAAGAAATCTTTTAATACATAAATAAATGAAAAGACATCCCATGTTCATGGGTCAAAAGACTTATTAAGAAGGCAATACTCTCCAAACCGAACAACAGATTCAATGCAATCTTTTTTTTTTTTTAAATATATTTTATTGAGTTTTTACAGAGAGGAAAGGAGAGAGATAGAGAGTCAGAAACATCGATGAGAGAGAAACATCGACCAGCTGCCTCCTGCACACTCCCCACTGGGGATGTGCCCGCAACCCAGGTACATGCCCTTGACCGGAATCGAACCTGGGACCTTTCAGTCCGCAGGCCGACGCTCTATCCACTGAGCCAAACCGGTTTCGGCGATTCAATGCAATCTTTAACAGAATTCCAGGTGACTTCTCTGTAGAAACTGACAAGTTGATTCCAAAATTCACATGAAATTACAAGGCACCCAGAATATCAAAACAATCTTGAAAAAACAAAAAATTGGAGGGCTCACACTTCTCTATGTAAAAAACTTACTACAAAGAAAAAGTAACCAAGAAGGGTATGCTACGGGCATAAAGACAGACATATAAATCAATGGAACTGAGAGTCCAAAAATAAATCCATACATAATATTGGCCAACTGATATTTGACAAGAGTGCAAAGACAGCCAATGGAGAAAGAATAGTCTCTTTAACAAATGGTGCTAAGAGAACTCTGAATAGTGACATGCAAAAGAATGAACTTGAACCCTTACTGCACATCATATACAAAATTTAACTCAAAATTAATCAAAGACCTAAATATAAGAGCCAAAGCATGCAACTCTTAAAAGAAAACATGGAGTAAATCTTCACGATCCTGGATTTTTAGGTATGACACCATAATCACAAACAACAAAAGGGGAAAAAGATAAATTGGATTTCATTAAAATTAAAAAAACAAAAAACTTTTGTGCTTCAAATGACACTATCAAGACAATGAAAGCTCACAGAATGGGAGAAAATATTTGCAAATTACAAAGGACTTGTATCTAGAATACATAAAGAACTCTTTACATCTCAATAATAAAAAGACAAATAACCCAGTTTAATAATGGGCAAAGGACTTGAATAGACATTTCTCCAAAGAAAATACAGACAGACAGTAAGCACAAGAAATGATGCTCAACATCATTCATCAACAGGGAATGTGATCAACACACAAAAGATATCACTTCTCACTCCATAGGACAGCTAAAATAAAAATGACAGATACTAATGAGAGCTGGTGAGAATCCCTAGAAATTAGAACTTTCATACATGGCTGGAGGAAATGTAAAATGGTATAGCCAGTTTGGAAAACCATGGCAGTTTCTCCAAAAACTAAACATAGAGTTACCATTGGATCCACAATTCCAATACTAAATATACTAGTATACTCAAGAGAAATGAGAGCATATGTCCTCACAAAAATCATAAAAGCATTGTTCCATAAGAGCTAAAAGGTGAAAATAACCCAAATGTCCATCAATTGATGGAATGATAAACAAAATGAAGTATGTCCATACAATAAAATATTATTTAGACATAAAAATGAAGTACTGATACATGCTACAATATGCAAGTCATAACCCACATAGTACACAATCTCATTTATATGAAATGTCCAGAGTAGACAAATCAACACAGATAGGAAGTAGATTCATGATTGTTTAAGGCTGGGAGGATGAGGAGGTTTGGGGTGAGAGGTAAAGGATACAGGGTTTCTTTGTGAGGTGATAGAAATGTTCTAAACTTGATTGCACAAGTCTGCAATTTGGCATAAATCTTCAAGAGATGGTTGCACAACTCTGAATACACTGAAAACCCTTCAATTATACCCATTTAAAATCAGTGAATTATATGGAATGTCAATTATATCTCAATAAAACTGTTCCAAAAAATAACAAGTGTGGACAAGGACATGGAGGAATTGAAACCCTTGTGCAGTGCTGGTGGGAATGTAAAATGGTGCAGCAGCTGCAGAAAACAATATGGAAATTACTCAAAAAATAAAAATAGAATTATCATACAATCCAGCAATTTCTATCCCAAAAAGGGAAAATAGGGACAGGAGCCACATATTTGTACACCTGTGTTGACAGCAGCATTATTCACGATAGCCAAAAAGGTAAAGGCAAACAAGTTATTTATCGATGGGTAAATAAACAAAACGTGGTATGTACATACAAGGGATTATTACTCGGGCTTTAAAAAGAATGAAATTCTGACACACGCCACAATGTGGATAAACCTTGGGAACATTATCCTAGGTGAAATAAGCCAGTCATGAAAGAACAAATGCTGTATGAGTCCACGTATGCGAAGTCCCCAGAGTAGTCAAATTCAGAGAGACAGAAAGTGGAATGATGGCAATCAGGGTCTGGAGGAGGGGAACTGTTAATGGGCATAAGGCTTCAGCTTTAAGACAAAAAAAGTCTGGAGATAATGGTGGTGATGGTTGCACAACAATTTGAACGTACCTACCTAATGCCACTGAACTCTAATTAAAAATGGTTAAAAAGTAAATTTTAATTTTACCACAATTAAAAAGAAAAGTGAGTGACCTGATGACTAGGAATCAAGCTAAGGACAAAAACTCAATCTTTGCTTCTTCTCTTGTTCAATGGCAAATCATACTGGAAAACCTTTTTTTTTACTGAAATAGTATGAGTCTGTGACATCTCAAGTAATTGTGATCCATATGATCTATTGTTCTCATTAGGTGTTTGAAATAAATCTGAGATTTAGTATTTTTTCCACCAAAGTGAACTCAAATTTTTTTTAAAAATTTAATTTAAAAAGCAAAATCCATACCTGATACAAAGCAAGAGAGTGTCCATACCTCTGGAGCGGTCCCCTGGACAGAGTTCCCACATTCCATATACTGTTTTCTAAATTGTAACTAGAACCAAGAAAAGAAGTAACTTCATAATCTAAGATTCCTGTTTGGTTTTTCAATCTGCATATGTTTTTCTTTGTCTGTATTCAAGTATTCATTAAATTCAAAACAATTATAAATAACAAGCTCATAATTTCAGGTACCATATTAGATGTTTTTCATAAAGACATTCAAGATATACCTACTTTAAATTAGGACTCAACCACCTAAATGTATAGTGTACATTAACTTGATTATTTATTATTGGAATTTATTGGTTCAATTGCTTAACCTAAACAATAGGAAGCTGGTCTGTATTTTTAAATTAAAAAAAGGGAGAGAGAACAGACTGGCAGCTCTCAGAGGGAGAGGGGTTAGTGAGGCGGGTGAAATAGGTGAAGGGATTGAACCAAAAAAAACCTCATGGAACAGACAGTCAACTAATGGTGATTACCTTTGGGAAGGGGACTGGAGGCAGGTGGAAGAGGGAGATGATAAATGATGGAAGGAGACTAGACTTTGGATGATGAACACACAATGCAATGTGCAGATGATGTGTTGTAGGTTTATACACTTGAAACCTATATAATTTATTGACCAATATAACCCCAATAAATTCAATGAAATAATAATAAATTTCACAGAAGTAAAAAAAGAGCCAGCTTTTTCCTTTGGAAATGGATGGAAATTCTCTACATTTTTAAAATAGCCATTTGCTTTATGTATTCAAATTTTATTCTTTTACATGCATGTAGCTCAGCATTATATAAGTTAACCAAAAAGTACCTATTTCCTACACACAAACATGTCTTGTTTACTGATCATTTGAGATTGTGTGACATGAATCTAGTAAGATAGAAGTTTCTGTAAGAAGAAGGTACTACTGGATTACTGGATAAAAATGAAAATTAATCTTTATTCATCTGCTCTAAAAATATATATATGAAAATAGAAGTTCCAAGCTGTGAATCTCAAATGCTTATCTAAGCGAATTCCAGTTCAGTTGTCACCATCATACTCTACCCTCACATCTCTTCAATTTGACAAAATATAGAGGGAAGCATCCAGCCAAGAACTGACTAGGACCTTGTTTAAGAAGCTCACTATCAATTATCATCTCTTCTCTTTCTTCCTCCAACTTATCAGGGAAAGCAAGCAAGCTCTCTTCACACACAAAAAGGGAAGGTTACCAACAACTGTTTTCAGCATTATGGTTAACTTCTTTTCTACACTGGAATTAGAAGATACGTGTGAATGAAACAAGTAAGAGAATAAAATCAATCAGAACATAACTTTCACAGACTCACTCAGCTACGTCTACCTCCCTACCAGCATCTGCACCCAACAACACACTGCTTTCCACCAAGTTACCATAAAGGGCCAGAGAGTAAATATCTTGGGCTTTGTGGATCACACTGGTCTTTTGTATTCTTCTTTGTTCTTTCGTATAGCTCATTAAAAATGCAAAAACCATTTTACTTTATTTTCACAGACTTTTCATTTTCATTAATCGTATTTAATTTCCTTTTAGTTTCCACATTTAAAACTCATTTCTTCAGGTTCTTTTCCTATCTTAGCAATTCATTTTAATCCCACCAACTCTCTTTCAATTCTTTCTACTATATTTTATCCATTATATATTGTGATATAGAATTCTAATTGTCTACTTAAATATGTACCTAAAACTTTCTCCCTCCGTACAGAAATTACTTATTTTATACTTTAATTCGAGTCATATTCAATCATAGTTTTAAAGCAATCTCCTCTTATAAGCAGTAGAATTTTAAAATACCCAACATTAATAGGACTAATATTGTTAGTGGATAGGGCTACCAAATACAATTGAGGATGCCCAATTAAATCTGAATTTTATATAAACAACAAATAATTTTTTAGTATAGGCAGAACTCATACAATATTTGGGACAAAATCAAAAAAGAATATTGCAAGGGTCTACTTATACTGAAAAATTATTCATTGTTTATCTGAAATTCAAGTTTTACTGGGTGTCCTGTGTATTTCTCTGCTGCATCTGGCAACCTATTGGGTACACACCATTATGGTATATTGTCTAGGGTCAGTTCTGATTGGTTGGTGCCCAAGTTGCACCGGTTGTTACATATTATGAGTATCACTCCTGAAAACAACATTGATAATCAAATTACTCTTCTTTTTGCTCTTTCGTTCTGCTATTAAATGTTCATAAAATACAATCACCAGCTGAAAAGAAATCAGGTAAGCTGCCATCCATGTGGTCCCTGCATCATCCAATCATGCAAAGGATAATCTCCATGGAGACATCAGCAAATGAGTGATCTATTTTACAATACAGGCACTCTCTCCCAACAAAAGCTTGTAAAATCATTTCAAAGTCAAAAAGTTCAGAAAAATTAATTTATAGGTCAGAATTTTTATATAGGCAATTACACTTCATTCTGAAAACAATATTATGTGGCAGGATTCGTAATGTCTGATACAGACCTGGCCTCACCTTACTTTAATTAATATTTTCTTACTCAGAATTTATTAAAAGCACTCTAGAGAGGTAATGAAATATCTATACAAAACAAATCTCTATGCATAATGACAAATATTTAATGATGGATATATTGAATTCATAGGTTCTCAAATCAAGTTCCACGTAACAAAGATACTATCACAAAAATATTCATAAATTTTGACAGCAATAAAATAGGCGCTTAGGATAGTCCTATTACCAAAAATTCAGCTTAAATAATAGATTGTGAAAATCTGGAAAACATACTTACTTCAGGACCATTTGAAAAGAACTGTAGTTAAAACTATATCCACCAATCACCCACATAAACTTCCCGTGTAAAACCGCTTTATGGGAAGCCCGGCCTACGGAAGGACTAAAGGGTTTGACATTTGGCAGAATCCAGTATGACTCGGTGGAAGGAACATTCAAAGAGCAATCAGGACCTATAAAAAATCAAACAACACAGTGCGTTAAACTAAGAACTTAGATTATAAACCGGAATATATGGATGAAGAGAATTTGTAATTCAATGCTCATCATAGTAATAAATGCACATAATAAGTTATCTAAACTACAACTTACAGGGGAAATTCTAACATGAAATGGAATGCCTACAGGGAACCAAATCATATACTCAATCAGACTTACATACGTTCAAATAAATATCACAAAATCCGAAATAATCCTAGTTCTATCACTTACTAGACATGTGACTGAGCATGTCTGCTTATCTCTCCCATCATCAAATCTTCATCGATAAAACAGAAATAACAATCTATCCCCTAACGGTGATTACAAATATTTAATTTTTTAAAAGATAGTGGAGATGAAAGCATTTACAAAGTGTAAACTACTAAGCTAATAAAAACATAGAAATTACATTTTTTTCTTAGCTCTATTAAGAATAACCAAAATTATTATCAGTAGGGAGTGCTTATTATCCTCAAACAGAAAAAAATATTATGCATGATAAACTTATTTTAATTAGGCCAGGATAACTTAAATACTAAAAGTTGAAAACACTGCCTTTTCCTGTTCATGTTCGTGGTGTTACTCATGAGTCTTGGTTACCTCATCTGTTAAATGTAGGAGACTGGCCTAGATCAGTGTTTCTCAAACTTAATGGAAGGAATGCTCCCAAAGGAATATATTTTCGCCAAACTTAAAGGCTCGTAAATGATGTATTTTAATCCTCACCCGAGGATATGTTTTTATGATTTGAGAGACAGAGGAAGGGGGAGAGAGATAGAAACATCGATGGAAAAGAGGAACATCGAGAGGTTGCCTGCACGTATGCACCCCGACCAGGAAACAAACCCACAACCTAGGCATGTGCCCTGACTGGGAACTCGCAGCCTTTTGGTGTACAGGATGATGCGCCAACCATCTGAGCAGCCACCCGGCCAGGGTTTGTAAATGATTTCTAATTCTAATGAAACTCAAATATGCTCAAACAAACTCTAAACATAAACTCCTTACATTTAAAGTTCTTTTATAAATATAAAATCAGCATAAATTTAGAAATTATATGTACATGTAAATGAACTTTTAAAAACAATAAACTTAATGTTTACTTCATATGATAAATGATACTGTTTTGCTCACACTAAATCATTGGTCCCAGGATGAAGTGATATTAATTTTTATAGTACTTTTTCCCACATAACTTTAGGATACCTACATTATTTTGACAAGATAATTTTGCCATCACTTTTCTTTCTTCTACCCTTTATAAACCTTTTTAATTCATACATTATGCCATATCAGCATTTGACCTTTGCTTGTCATCAGAGCATCAGCACATTTCAATAATTTTCTTTTTAGCCAATAATAAAGAGATACTACTTGATCCCAACTTAGTCAATACGAGGCTGGCATTGCAATCAAGTGCATCTTTACTCAACTATGAGATCAATGACTTGATCTTAAATTTGCTTATGCCAAAAAATTATAGATTATCATTGAATCACAAAATTTTAAACTTCCAAAATGACCCTAATTGGAGAAACATTATTCCATACAGTTTTCATCTATTATCTGTTCACTCCCCATTCATTCATTCATCCACTCATTCATTCATCCTCAAAGTCCTTTCCAAAGCTTACATTCTATGAGCCTGTGTTTTTTCAAGTGCAACTAAGTACACCCTAGAGATTATCTCTTTGATAATGACACAATCCTTTAAGTCAGATATTTAAAAATGTATTATTTTTGAATGAAAACTCTCTGACGCATTTATGGCAATCAAAAAAATTAAAGGAATACACTTATTAAAAAACAAAACAAAAAAACCTTTTTAACTACAATTCTGAATCACTTAGAACTCATTTAACTTGGGGTGGCAAACAGCAGCCCATGAGCAAAATCCAGGCAAACCCCTGTTATTCTAGATACATTTTTATTAGAACACAGTATGCTTATTCATTTAAGAACTGTCTATGGCTGCTTTTGCACTACACCAGCACAGTTGAGTAGTTGCAACAGAGACCATATAGTCAACACAGTCAACAATATTTACAATATAATATATGGCCCTTGACAGAAACATTTGCCAACCTCTAATTTAACTGAAGAGAAATGAGAGCAGATGGACAGTATATGTAACTAATATATCTACTGGTATAAGTTTTGTTTTCTTTTTTTCCTTTTCATTGGATTTATTGGGGTGACACTGGTTAACAAAATTATATAGGTTTCAAGTGCACTCAAATATGCTCAAACAAAATCCAGGGTGCAGGTTCTTTCCAAGCCTTCAGGGGGGTGTGGCCCTGACAACACCCTGACTTTGGCCCACTGAAACCAATTTCAGAACTGTAACCGCCAAATGGTAAGTTGTATAAGTTATTGGAAACTGATACCTAATAATTAATTTATTTAAAGTAAATATTACTTAATATAGGAAACAGAATTACAAAGATTTTTTTAAATCTTATCTACAACGTATCATCTGTACACTGTAGTGTGTGGTCACCACCCCAAGTCAAGTCTCCGTCCATCACCATTTATACCCACTATATCCTCCTCCACCTCCCTCCCCCAGCTACCCCTTGCAGTCACCACACTGTTGTATTTTATTTTCGTAAGAAGGAAATATGGATTTATTTTAAATAATGTAAGTCAGGAATAGTAAGCAAATAGGGTAAAATATTAATAACAGGTGAACTGGTTAAAGGACATTTTAATATTCTTTGCTATTGTTATTCTTAAATTTTTTCTATAAATTTGAAATTCTTTGTAAATAGAATGTTAAAAACTGTTAACATCTGAAAGCACAGAGTCAGATGCAGTCAAATAATACCAGGGTATTTCTTGACACCATTTGATAGGGATTACCGCCATGTAAAATTCTTAAGAGAGTTGGGGATATATTGAAATCAGTAATATCTTTATGAAATCTTCACTACAGCAAAATATTTCAGAGCAAGGCTGTGGAAAGCTGAGTACTGGCCCCCAAAGATAGCCGAGTTCTAATCTCTGGAACCTGGGGATGTCACCTTATCTGGCAAAGGGGCTTTGAGGATGTGATTAAATTAAGGATCTTGAGCTGGGCAGTTTCTGCTGGATTATCTAAGTAAACACAGGTGTCCTACAAAGAGAGGGCGATGTGACCACAGAAGAAAAAGCTATGGCCGCTGATGCAGGACCCTGGACGGCACGTTTTGAAGAGGGAGGAAGGGAAAGGAGGCCGGGAGAGCGGTGGGCACTGCAGCTCTAGCAGCTGGCACAGTCCAGGGTGCAGGTTCTTTCCAAGCCTTCAGGGGGGTGTGGCCCTGACAACACCCTGACTTTGGCCCACTGAAACCAATTTCAGAACTGTAACCGCCAAATGGTAAGTTGTATAAGTTATTGGAAACTGATACCTAATAATTAATTTATTTAAAGTAAATATTACTTAATATAGGAAACAGAATTACAAAGATTTTTTTAAATCTTATTCTGTAATCTAAAATGACTCTCATTTTTCTACACAAAAGAAAATAGCAGTCAATATTCTTCTTATATCTTTTTTGCTACCACATTTTATGTAACTTCTAGAGATCATTAAAAGAAACAATCTATAGCCAAACTCTACAGATTTTCTTTTACTCTCATAAGCTTATAAATAGAATGGAAGTTTTATGAATAGAACTTAAAAGTTTAAAGGCAGATGGAATGTCTTAATTTGTAGCTTTCTGCATTCTATGACAAATGATTTGAAATGTAAATTTACAAACTGAATATTAATTTAGAACACAAATGAATATAAAGCTTTATAAACACAAAGCCTTCACCATGCATTAAAAATCAAACATTGAAATCTAAATTTAAAGCCATCTGAGACTCCCTTTTCTTAAAAATACATTTTTTCATTTATTCAGAGAGGAAGCGAGAGGGAGAAAAAGATAGCAACATCAATGATGACAGAGAATCACTGATTGGCTGCCTCCTGCACGCCCCCCGCTGGAGATCCAGCCTGCAAGCTGGGCAATATGCCCAGACCGACGGGGAATCCAACTGTGACGTCCAGGTTTGTAGGGAGACGCTCAACCACTGAGCAACACAGGCCAGACCCAGGACTCCGTTTTTATAAACATGTCATGGGAAGCCTTCTGAGGCAACCTCTCTGCGTGACCCCTGCACCACTTCCATCCATCAGCATGGGAATCTCCCCACGGTAGGCAGACCTCGGCTGCCTCGAAAAGGATGTCATAAAATGATTCACATCACAGTGGGTTTTCATAAAGATTTAATATGCCACCTTTTCCACGGGTTATGTGTAGTTTAATAATCCAAACAGCATAAATGAATTTCTAATGCTGTAACTTCAGGCATTAGTGACAGGCTGCAGAGAGACAGATCTTGTGGGGAAAGAATGTAGAATTATGCACAGATCACACTGAACTGTGTATCTCCAGCCCCACAATTTCTCTTAAATTCCAGACGTGAAGTCAAACTGCCTTCATGACATTTCCACTTGGGTGTCTAATGATCATCTCAAAATTAACTCATCCAAAACTAAAATCTTGACGTTTCTCTCCCAAATCTGCTCCTTCACCATGTCTATCATCTCGGTAAATGGCACCCATTCTCCCAGTTGCTCAGGGCAAAGACCTTGAGTTCTCTCTTCCTCCCACACCCCAAACCCAATCCAGCAATAAATCCTGGGCTGACACCATGAAGTATGCAGGGACACAGCCTTTGTGACTGTTCAAACGTGGAAATGCTTCAATGAAGTGGGTGCTGCCTTCCCTTCCCAGCTGCCCTGGCCCCTCCGAAGGTAACACAGACCACAAACCTCCCCACAATGGACAACTAATGGCTAGCACATCTCCTCCAGGACCCTGCTCCAGGCCCAAGGTCAGCACCCATTCTGACTGTCTGAGTATCCCTACCTTACAATTCTAAGTATTTTTACATTCTATCACCTCTACCAGACCCCAGCCACTGATCTCTTCCTTTACAA